CATGGCCGCTGAGCCTGCACGTCCGGAGCCTGTGCTCCGCAACGGGAGAGGCCACAACAGTGAGAGGCGCGCGTACCGCAAAAAAACAAAACAAATAGAAGTTGCATCAAATTAGAGTGTAAAAAGTTGAGTTAAGGCAAAAAGCAAACCTTACGAAATATTTTTGGGTTTCCTTGGAATCTGGCACAACCTATATTTACACAAGTTAGAGATTAGTTTATTACATAATAAACAAAAATATAAAGGATAATTGGAAATTTTACATGTCTCAGGATTAGATTAATATATTTTAGAATGACTTACTCATAATGAATATTACATTAGGAAGCTTACCCATTACCAAATAGGATTGGAAATATAATTGTCAATCTAGATTATGGTCTTTGCAAATGTAGCAGAATGGTATTTTGAAATACTATCCAGCTGATTTTTTTTCCCTTTCTTAGTTCTGTTTTACTCTGAGTTACCTCTATCATTAAAATAATACCGAGTTGGGCTTCCCTGGTGGTGCGGTGGTTGAGAGTCCGCCTGCCGATGCAGGGAACACGGGTTCGTGCCCCGGTCCGGGAAGATCCCACATGCTGCGGAGCGGCTGGGCCCGTGAGCCGTGGCCGCTGAACCTGCGTGTCCGTAGCCTGTGCTCCGCAACGGGAGAGGCCGCAACAGTGAGAGGCCCGTGTACCGCAAAAAAAAATAATAATAATAATAAGACCGAGTTATTGCCCTGGGAAGGGAAGACACACAGAATAGAATATGAAGAAGTAGTCAAATAATTGGCTTCGACTTCCAAAATAAGCCTTAAAAATCCAAAGCTAGATAAGCCTTGCAGGTACTCTTGATTTATATAAGTGTAGATTCGGAGGAAAGCAAAATGACTTAAAGATTCCAACGATCCAAAAAGTAAACATTTACAACACAGAAAAAAGGTAACTAAGGAGTATTAGAGTAAGAAAGGCAATATGCAGATACATTAGGCATTTTCCCAAACAGATGAATAAAGGTCTCAATAGTTAAGCAGGTAGAGGAAAGCTAGAGAAGTTACTGGTCTTTAGAGGCTGTTGGAACCTGAGAAGGAGTCCAACACACCCACCCCTCTGCTCTGTCCAGGGGGAAGAGCTAGTCCCCATTTAAGTTTAAGGGAAATCTGAGAGTAGAGGAGAAGCCTTCTATATTCCCAAGTGTAGCCCATGAATGTTCAGACCTTGTAGAACATATCATGGTGCTGAACCAGTAAAAGAGATGTAGGCTGTGGGCTTGAAGGCAGCTTCAGAAAATTCTGATAATCTTGGCCTGGTGCGGATAAGGAATAAAGTTCCCCATGAGGTGGGTGTGACAGGTGGTATTTTCAAAAGACAACTGCAACAATTACTCTTATTCCGTGTGCTATTTTTACTACATGACTTTGACAGTCCTACCATCAAGAGATGGGTTTGTGTTTCTCCCTGAATCCGGTGGGCTTACAAACAGTAGAAGTGACATTACGTGACTCCAGTGCCTGTTTCTGTTGGATTTTCTTTTTTTCTTGGAACCCAGCCATCCATGCTATGAAGAAGCCCAAGCAGCCAAGAGAAGCTGCACATAGGTTTTGGGCCAACAGGGCCCAGCTGAGGTTGCAACCAACAGCTAGCACCACCCTTCAGACATGTGAGTGAAGGAAACATGCCTTTAGATGACTCAGATGTCTCCAGACATCATGTGTTCCAGATGAAGCCCAAAATAGCTCAGCGTAGAAACAAGCTGTCCCCACTGGGCCTTTTCTGGATTCCTTCTCCTCAGAATCCAAGAATATGATAAAATAGTTGTTATGCCACTACATGTGGTTTGTCATGAAGGCTAGATAACTGCAACGGTGGGGAGGGGAAACAAGGAGTAGATCTAAGGGGGCCCGTGATCTAAGCACCTGCTCTTAGGAGAACTAAGCATAGTGTCCAAGGGCCGAGGCCCCACGCCCAGAAGCCGTGGCACAGTTCTTCGGCATCAGGACCAGATTCCATGTCAGGTGCCCCAAGACTTGGCTAAATTAAATGACGTCTCAGTAAGTGCTGTCAGAGACAAAAGCTGGCAATGGAACGGACACCTCTTCCTGGAATGCCATGACACTAGCACAGTTTCCCAGGAACTTAAGAGAAACCACGGAAGAATGAAAGGAAATTGTGACATGGGAAGAATCATGAATTGGCCAAGCTTCATCCTCAAACACCCAACATTTAAATCACATATCTGAATCGGGATGATTTAGATTTCCTCTGCCACTTCTGGATTATTTTAAATTTAGTCAAAGAGAAACCAAGTCCCATTTTACCTATCTTGAATATTAACTTTATAAAACTTATAAACTTATAAAATGTCAAGCGATGGCTAAATATTTCTTCAGACGTGCTTGTAGAAACGGACGTTGCTCTGAGCAGATGACATATATATTATCACACATCCATTTGCAAAGTTTTAAATTTTGAAAGTTGGCAGATTGAAACCAAACCTTCATGTCATCATGGAGTTACTCTGAACAGAAACTAACAGCTCTTTCTGATTTCACTTTTTTTAGTTTAGTTTGGATTAATTGTAGTAAAATAAAAGTAACATAAAATTGATTTTCTTAACTGATTTTAACTGTACAATTCATAGTTTCTGTTTCCATTTTCAATGATGCATTCTGTCCTTTAGACTTGTCTAGAGGTCTGAAGACCTCTCTAATATAAATTTTCAAAGAGGGCTCTTAAGAACATTAGGTATTGTTCATAACGACACGCTCTAAGTTTCTGCCAGTGATAACTGGCCGACACCCAACTAATCAGACTCCTCTCATGAATACTTTTTGAGACTTGTGGTAAATTTTGTAAGATAAACGGCCTTGACTGAGATGCATCTGTGGCCTCATTCCAGAATGGAGTTAACTGGCCTGAATGGGAGATGAATCCACAGCCACATGTTCTAAGAAGCTCAATGTATCTTACACAGTCAGATAATAAAATATTATCAGGGGCGCTTTCTTGACTAAAATTTATAAAACTTCAGATTTGTGTAACCAAAAGTGTGCGATTTGGGGTTTCGGTTTCTGTGGCATCAGCGTTTCTCAGACTGGAGTTGTGCGATCAGTGAAAGAAAAACAAGTGGGAGATTTAACCTGATGGTGCACAAAACCATCAGCTATGTAGAACTCTAAAGAACCTGGGCCTTTGGAGGAAGTATACACATTCTGAGCAGATACGGTAGCATTTATTGCTTTGTAGACAATACGATGGAAGTTCAGTTCAGTGGCTTATCATAAAAATGTAGGTAAAGACTCAATATTAGCTATTCAAGTAGTTAATACACACCTCCTCTATCTTGTGATGAATGAATTATTAATGATTGCCTGAGTTCAGTTCTTAGAGAAAAGAAGAGCGAGAGATAGCAGTTCACATTTCTCTTTCCTATCCAACTTTGAAAGAATATTCGGTCAAGTTCAGGGCACTGATCACACTTCGGGTTCATTTTTAGTAAGTCTAGAAAGAAAGAAACATGTGTGGAGAATTCCAAATATTTCATTTTAGTAGTTTTTCGAGCCATGGATCCCTTTGACAACCCAGTGAAGCTCACAGGCTTCTAAGATTTTTATACATGTAAAATAACCAAATAGGATAACAAAGGAAAACAAATTATTGAAATGTAGTTAACATATTAATAACTTCCATAATTTCAAAGTAGTGGTGAGTGTACAGTGTTTTTTTGATATATTCAAATAACTTGAATGTAAAATGAAAGTTTTTGATTTCTATTGGTGACAAAGTTAACATCTCATCCAAGTTCATGAACCCCCAAAAGTCTATCCACAAATCCCTTAGGGTTCAGTGCAGCCGAGTTTAGGAACACCTGAGTTAAGATTAGGCTACAACTTTACGCTACCATGGAACGAATTGCTACAGGCTTCTTATTAATGTCAAGAAAGGTTGCTTACCATAAAGTTCCAGCTAAAGTCCAAAATCAAAACAAAAGAACAGAAAAAACAAAAAGTTCTACCTGTATTCACCAGGAGTAAGCCGGCAACCATAGCCTGGCTTAGTCTCAAGAGATAAAATGCTGTATGCAGGAGACTTCAAAAGGATTTTGGAAAATGTGTCATATTAAGCTTAGGGTGATTCCATTTTTGATTAGAGTTAAAAACAAGTGAAGAAAATGTGTAGACATATCAGGAGAGCAAGATACCATCTGTGTTTAATCATATATTCTTTTTCTACTGGTCCTCCAAGGGAAATTTCTTCTCTGGTTAATTTTCTGTGTAAGTTTAGCTCTGCCAATTACAGAGGAAAGGGTAAGTTACTTAAACATTCAGCTCCTCGGTTTTCTCTTGTGTAAAATAAATGGGTTAAGCGAAATGATCCTTTCGGTGGACTTTAGTGGAAAGAGAGTGTTTTGAAGAAGTTAAACATTAGTTAAAATGCCTACTGTAATATTATTGAATAAAATATGATGTAAGAGAGTTGAGACCTGGGACTCAGGTTAAGACTGAGTGGCTGAGACCTCGCCCTCCAACGTAGGGTGTGCAGGTTTGATCCTTGGTCGGGGAGCTAAGATCCCACATGCCAAAAACTAAAAGCATAAACATAAAACAAAAGCAATATTGTAGCAAATTCAATAAAGACGTTAAAAATGGGCCACATCAGAAAAAAGAAATTCTTTAAAAGAAAAAAGAAAGAAAATTGAGACCTGGTTCATTATAGAGCTATGAGGATCAAATAAGATAACATAATATTTCTATAAGACACACTGAAAGCACTAAATAAGGTGACTTCATGCCCAGACTCTAATACGGTTGAACCAGAAATGCCTGTCCCATGTATATGAAATCCCAATTATTGCTTTCAAATGAACGCTTGTTATTGAAAGTACTACGCACATTGGGCTACAAAATGTTTGCATGTTACAGAAAAGTAAAACTGCCAATATCTCTCTAAATTGCTTACTTCAGAAATGCTGCAGTATATAATCATTGCACCCTCACCCCTGCCTCAGCCCCGCCCAGTGGTGACCCTCACCTCAGCACATCTGTAAGCCACCTGTGGTCCCTTCCAGAGCACAGCAGTTGGGCCTCTTGTCTCATACCTACAAAATAATTCGATAAGGGTGACTTGTCAGACTAATAGGATAGAGCACATCACTTTCAGCTTTTTAAAGCAGGTTCCTGCCAGTTAAAACTATTATTTGAAAACATCTACAGTGGGGTCCCAAGCAAGAGAATTCTTCCAAATTCCAACTTATTTCCATGGTAAGGCGATAGGGAGAAAGAGTGTGACACAAACAAGAGACATTCTAGGCTAACAGCTAAAACTCAGAGTGCTCGGATGGGAGAGGGTAGATGTGAGGGGAATTTAAGGTCTAGGTTAATTTGAACTTGCTGTTATCTACCTGCGTGCGGTACACAGAATGATGTGTCTCCCACCCCTCAAGACATCCAAGTACTGATCCCTGGGACCTGTGAATATGTTACCTTACATGGCAAGAGGGGTTTTGCAGAGGTGATTAAATTAGAGGTGTATCTTGAGATAGACAGATTATCCTGGATTATCCAAGAGCCTCAATGTGATCACAGAGGTCCTTTTGTAAGAGGGAGGCTGGAAGGTGAGTCACAGATGGACATGTGACAAAGGGAACAGAGGTGTTGGGGGAAGAGAGAGACAGACTGAGATTTGAAGGTGCTATGCTACCGCTTAAGTTGGAGGAGAGGCCAAGAGACAAGGGACACAGGTGGCCTACAGAAGCTGGAAAAGGCAAGGAGGCCAGTTCTCCCCTAGAGTCTCCAGAGGGAACATGACTCTGCTGACTCCTTGGTTTTAGGGTGTCTACCTACAAACTGAATATGTGTTGATTCAACCCACTTGATTTGTTGTAATTTTTTTCAGTACTATAGGAAACTAATACGTCAATTATCTGGTTTTTTTACATCCAATTTTTACACTTCTTCCTCCCTCTGCTTGCCATATGAGCCATAGTACTGAACCAAGTAAATACATATTGAATCACCATGTGTAGAAGTACAGTTCTCACACAGAACTCTAATCTCCCACCTTCACAAAGACCCTGGGGAAGATAGTTGAGGACTTGTATTTTTTCCAGTATTTTATTAACCGTTTACACTAAAATGTTATGAAATATCAGAAAAACTGTAAAAATCACTAAATGTCTCATGTTTAAAACTCTCCCTGCATGATGCTGATACTTTGTTTTAATAAAGCGCACTGCTCATCACATTTGCTTTGGAATATCAATGATTTCTTAATCGTTGCCATATGGTCTTTTCTGGTTAACGCTATATCTAGATTTTAAAATGGCACAAGGAGAATAGACATGAAAAGAGAGATACTCTGATAATGTGCAGGACGTATGTATGTTGTGTGTGTGTGTGTGTGTGTGTGTGTGTGTGTGTGTGTAACAGACGTCACACTGCCTACCTCAAGACCCTTGGTTTTTCTAATTCTGGGACTTTGAAAACTAACTACTTCCTCTGTATCACAGTTTTCTTGAAATTAGAGCTACTAATACTACTTCATAAGATTAGTGGAAATAATAAAATAAATCAAATTAAATGTACATAAAATGCTAAGAACAGTACTTAGCACATAGCATTCACTCTGAAAACATTAGTTATTACTGTTATTATTATGACCACCACTATTATTCCCACTAAACTACATGAAGTGTCCAAGAAAAAGCTCTTTCACTACCACGGTAGTTGTTGAGACACTGCAATGGCCATTGGTGTCCACCTGTCCTGCTGTATTGGGTCGATGGCCTGCCTGATACCCCACCTGGCCACTTACAGCCCTGTTGATTACATCACTGCCACACACTGCCCACTACAGCAAATTGTTCTGCCATTTCAATAGTTTTGTTTCAACAATGCAGGATCATGAAAAATATTTTTCCAGAAAAGCGAGCTGTTTGGATGCTTTTGGGATTCCCTCGGCAAAATTAAGATCACATTTAGGCTTCTGAGTTGGATGGTAAGAATCTGAAACCAACAAAAGGATGAGGCCCTTTGCATCAGGTTCTATCCATCGACCTCTATATTCAATCTAAGAAGAAGTTCACTTATTGGAGCCAAGCATTCATCATGTCATAACTGTGTTGAATAGATATTTTTCTCCCTTAGAAACGAAAATCTCAATGTCATGCTAACATTGTGATTTCTGAATAGGGTGGGTAAATATCCAGTAACCAGGGCAATAGATAACAATTTCTAGGATAAGAATGTGGAATGCTCATTTAGAAGCCACTTCCAATTCTATCAGAAATGGCAATCAATTGTTTCTTGAACTCTCCCCTAAGCTTCTACAGTCTTGACATAGAATCAATAAGACATCACCTGGCAATTACAAAGTATGCTGCAAATATATAATTAGCTAAATAATTTAGTAGTCAAATATAATCCACTCAAGTACTTGCCTCTTTATAGCCTTTGAACACAACTGCAGACCACTATAACCTCTCATTTCTCCAGATTCATGGCATCCGTTTAATACATCTCCTCATTTGAATATTATTTTGTCATCTAATGACACTTTTTAATTTACTTTTCTTTTTCAAAATTATATGTCTTTTCTCCCATCTAGAGTATACAGTTTTAACTGCACATATTAACTCTGCACATATTAGGTCCTAGCTCCCCAGACATTTATTTTTATCAGATTGCTTTAATGTATTATTGAGTCTATGTTAGCAAGCTTAATTTTCATATGTTCTAGTTAATTTCCTACACAGTACAAGCCAGAATACAATGCATCCGTTCCATCAGAGGCAGAAGGAGAGACAAGATATATCATGATGAAACTAATATCTGTTCCTCAATAATTGTAGCCTGAAGCTTCGGCTTTATTAACAACCAGATATTAGCAGCATTCTCACAAGGTACAGAATATTTGGTTGACTTAATTCTTTCACTAATTCAATAAACATTTCCAGAAGATCTCAAAAATCTGACACTGTTTCAGTTGTTGGCAATATAAATAGCTATTCGATTTGCCATATTTTATAAAGGGGAAAATGGAAAAGTGATTTTAACATAGACACGTTTCTTTTTAGTGGCCTATTACTGCATTAGCACAGAATCAGTTTTAAGAAGGGAATTTAGAAATGATCCAATTGTTTTCCTATCTTTGACATGCCTTATAAAATTTTTCTCTATATCTCTGCATTTGTAATGAGGGGAAAAATAAAGATGGGGCTTTTGTTCAAATTCTGGGCTGCTACATGCACATCTGGGGAAACATTTTCAGAGGTAGGGAAGCCACTGATGAGGGGAAGAAGTGAAAAGTGAAGAGCCATTCCTTGGTGTCGTGTGGGTGTGGTGCAGAGTGGACTCCTGCAGGAATGGGTGTGAAGAAAGTCACATGCTGTATAGGTGACACCTATCTTTTCTGATCATTCTTGGTAACAGAAGGTTAGACTACGGTTGTCAATTGCACCCTTTGATAAAACTGGAAAGGGTTCTTCAAGCTAGGACTGAGGTCTTAAAACAGCAACAAAAGCTTTCCTTGGGAATGACTAAAACATGATATTAGAACTACATGCAGTTTATTAAATGATTAACAGAACCAGAATTATTTATACATCAAAATACAGGTAACATATAAAGCGATTCTGATTAATCTTTGGTCCTTCTCACTTGGAAATGGATGCAGTTCTTAGTGTATCATGACCAGCCAGTATGCGCTCCGCTCCTTAACACACCCTGCTTTCTTTTATTTTCTCATACTCTCTTGTGTGTACACTGTCCATATCCCAGATTGTTAGCTTTATAAAGATTGATATCAATACAAACTGCAGAGGGCTCGATTTATACTATCTGCTAATGTTCAAAGTTCAAAAAAGATGAGCCTATTTTTCAGTTTTTTACATAAGGCTGGCTAAGCCTGTTACTACTAGCTACTGCACTGGTCTGTGTGATACAGTAATATAGGAGCATGTATGCTCCTTCGATATGCTTCCTAGGAATTCGTGGCACAGTTGCCTGCTTCTTTAACTGAGAAATGTACCACTGTCATAGCTCCCTAAGTTTTGTTTCCTCCACTGAAATCTGATTTGGGCTGGGGCAGTAAGAGAGATTTTATAGCTCACTTGTGTTTGGGGTCTGAAGAAAACTAGTGCCAGGTTTACATCCTGATCAAGTCACCCCACGGCATCTTTGACACTATGATACTTTCTGGATCCTAGCAGCAAATATCTCTCCTGGCTACTGCAGGCAAAGTGTCTAGGAGTTTTCTCTTTAACTGTTTCATTCTCACTTGTCTCTGGTATTTAATACTAAGCATTTACCATTATGTCTTAAATAAAAGAGTGATGAATGAATATACCAGTTATTTAAAAAATAAATGCATTAATTAAATAGATTAGTTCAAGAAGATAAAGTATGAAACATTATTACTATGCAAATAAATATGCTATTCCTCTTTTTATCAAAAGAAAACTGTTCTTTGCTACATAAATATAGAGATGCATAGATAGACAAACATATAGGCATAGTAGATATCTCATTTTAACCTCCCCTTAAACTTAATTGATTATTTTGATTTGCAAACAAAATTTTAAAAATTCTATCAGGTATATACATAAGACTGAGACCTTTTAAATAAAAAGGGGCATTTTTCTCATTGCTGCTTGAACAGAAAATGAACAATAGATTCTACTAAGGCTAACTGACATCAGTTCTATTATCACTTTAATCCAATTTTCATTAAGCGCCATGGTGCTAAGCCTTGTGTTACACCAACCGCTCATTATCACAGGAAGACTTGCTATATTATATTAAATGAAATATAGGATTTGTTCAAAATAGAATGATAGATACTATCTGGGAGTTAATATGTAATACATTATCCACCAGGTTTAGAAGATAAAAGTTTTTTGAATGTGCAAATCCTTAGTGATGTAAATATAAATTTAGACTAATAGTAATTTTTTCAATAAAAACCTTCAAAAATGTTATGTTTAAATAACAGTAATTAAAAGAGATTAATTTGTTTTCTGCTTCTGTAGAATTCATTCAGAGCATAGTTCAGGATGCTATCTTCCTCTAAGAATTGTGTTTTTGTGTTACTATTTCCTTT